GAGTGGTATTTCTCTTCGGTCTCCGTCGTTTTCCTGCTCATGTACTGTATGGGATGGAGCTGCTGATCGTCGACGTCCTTTTGTAGGAGGACTGCTCCATACCCATACATCGACGCATCCGTGTGTACCTCGGTCACCGCTTTAGGGTTATATAACCGCAATACTGGCGCCTTAACCAATGCGGCCTTTAGTTGCTGGAAAGCCAAGAGCTGCTCCTCTTTCATGGTGAATGGTACGTCGCGTCTTAGCAGATCCGACAGTGGTTTAGCGACCACTGCGTATCCTTCGATGAAGCGTCTGAAATATGACGTGAGACCCAGAAAGCGCTGCACGGCTTTACGGTCGGTTGGAACAGGGAACTTTTCGACGGCTCTTGTCTTGGCTTCACTTGGGCGCATGGTTCCGCCACTTATTATATACCCTAAAAAGTCGACGGACTTCTGCAGAAATTGACACTTCTCCCATTTAAACCGTAGATTATACTGCTCCGCTCTTTCCAACACCATCTTCAACTTCTGGACTCCCTCATCTACATCCTTAGTGGGAATGATAAGGTCGTCCATGTATGCGACCACCGTACCGTTTTGTATCAAATCACGAAAAACGGCAAATATAAAACGCGAAAACACTGCTGGAGAATTTGATATCCCGAAGGGCACGAACAAAAACTCGTACTGGTCGTTGTGTGTGACAAATGAGGTGAACTTTCGAGAGCTCTGCTCGACTGGTACGTGAAAGAAACCATTCACGAGATCCAGTGTGGTGAAAACTTTTGCCGCGTACAGCCTTTCAACTACGTCGTCAATCAGGGGCATTGGGAAGTTGTCCCGTACGATCTTCTCATTCAACCGTCTATAGTCGCAGCAGAGCCGTTTACCCCCATCCTTTTTAGACACCAGTACGATGGGCGATGCGTACTCCGACGAGCTGCGCTGGACAATTCCTTCCTTCAACCATAATGCCACCTGATCCTCCACTATACGTCTATCCGCGTACGACATGCGCCTCGGCCCTGCGTAGACGGGTAGATCATCAGTCAACAAAATCTTCATATCCACTGGAGATCTCTGCATCTTGCGCGGCTTGTAGTTATTCACCAACCCTCTCACCACGTTCCCTTCCTCCCAGCTGAGATGCGACAACTCCACCTCACGCTCGTTAGCTTCAACCGCAACTGCCACACACAACTCCTTGAATTCACCTAGAAAATCCGATTCGGCGGTAGTGGCCTCCACTGGTGTAGTTACCATTGTTTCTTGCTTCTGCGACTTTGCTTTGAACTCCACTGAGCCCTCGCTGACAACTAGGGTCACCTGCTTAAGGATGCCGTTACCAATAACCGCGGCATAGGACATGTCCCGCTCTCTGACCACATGGAACTTCAACTCCAACTCCATTCCATCTACGGTAACTTCTTTGGTAAAACTGCCTAATGTGGTCAGCCCACCTTGACCTACACCGACTAGCCTACGCCGATCTTTGTCCAGCTCGATATCCTCATCCAACCTCAGTAATGTGTCGTAACGTAATAGGCAGACGTCGCATCCGGTATCGACCAATGCAGAGAATGTCACCATATCACACGTCACGTCAACAAAGACACATTTGCCCGCAACACCTAACGCACGACATACTTCATCGCCTAAGGTGTTAGCGTTATGACTTTCCATCTTAATCGCAGCTGGACGACTCGGACACTCGGCAGATCGATGACCAGGTTTACCACATTTGAAGCATTTAAATTGTTCGCTACAATCTTTTGCAAGGTGAGAAGTGCTTCCGCACTTGAAACACTTCTTCCCTCCCTCTTTCCGTGCACCCTGACTAGTAGAACTCTTGTTCTCTGCGCTCGGTCGGGTCGGATTTTGGTAAGTTGCTTGTTGGCGACTAGACCGAATCTTTTCGTAGATTAGAATTTGTTCTTTCAGTTCCGCAATGGACTTAGCCAAATATAAATTTGTTTTATTCTGTTTGGAGTCGGGAATGCCTTCAATGAAGTACTCGATGAGGCTCCTCTCATCAAGCTGTATAGGCTTCCCGATCTCCATCAGTAAGTATAAATACTCGCGATAACTTTCTTCGGCGCGCTTACGTCTACCCGCCAATGCCCTATGCACATCTATTGATGACACCCTAGCCCCGAACTCAGCCTTTAAAGCCTGCACCAAGGAACCCCAACTCGTTACATCGCGCTGGCTACGTATAAAAATCTTCGCAGCTCCTTTCAGGAGTTGCTTCGCGTAAATAAATTTTTGTAGGTCGTTCCATTGAACCGCACTAGCATTTTGCTGAAAGTCGTCTAGCCATTCTTCGATCTGTTGGGAACCCGAACCACTAAAAGATGTTAACGAGTCTTCTATGTCACGTAAGGTAAAGGGAGCACGAGAGTATGCACTATGCGGTGTTGCACTTGGTGGTGACGAACCTGCATTGTCATACACGGAACCTACATCGTCGCCGGTATCATCATCAACTTCGCTATCAGGATTTAGACCGAAATGTTCCAATAAACGATCCTGTAGCGTCACCTTCCGGCCGGTGGTAGCTAAACCCAACTCAGACAATTTCTGCTTAAGGCCAACAACATTTAAATCCAAGATCGCGCTTCTTTCCATTGTCGACCGTTTCACGCTTACAAACAATAACTTCCTTAACTTACAAAAAAAAAATTCCAAAGTTAATCTTACTCTTCGACTTTTTGCCTTAAGGCAGAAATTGGATTACAAAATCTATGTTAATTTGTGCAAAGTCCGTCTTATCGATCTTCTAATTACATGTGTATTTGTCAAATTTATTAGATTTGCTTCAATTTAGCTTTAACTTTCTTTTCTTATTTTCGACAACTAACAAAATTGAGACATTTAATCACCATACGATTTTTCACTGTGTAAAATTTAATGTTCATACATAGAAAGTGCATATCATACATAAAAAGTACATATATCATAAAGCCATACCTCGCTGTTAATACACAAACCGTACAATCAAATTGTGTCACCTCTGTCGCTTCTGGATGGCTTTGTGTGCAGACGCCGCTGCTTTTGCTGATGCTCCTTCTGTGCTGCTACTGTGGTTGTCGCTGCCTTGCAGTTACTTTCGCTGCTTTGTACTTGCTGTCGCTGTCGCTGCTTTGCAGTTAATATCGCTGCTTGCACTTGCTGTCGCTGCTTTGCAGTAGCCTTCGCTGCTTGCACTTGCTGTCGCTGCTTTGCGGCTGATGTCGCTGCTTTGCCAGAATCCCTCTGGTAACGGGAAAATCTTCCGTTCTTGTATGGTACGACTAACGGGCTTTTACCAGGAGGTACAGTTCGCCGTGCTGGCCTCTTTAGCGCCCCAACTAGGCCTCCGCTTGTGCACACAGGTAAGATATGTTAAATGGCCGTACGTAAATGGCGTGCATCCATGTGTGTTTGCACGAATTCAAGCCAATTGCCTTTGCACTTGTTCACTTTGCGTAGGTAAAGCGTTTCTTCTACGCCGTCGCACTTCTGGCACCACTTGTAGGACTTCGCCCAGCCAATTGAATAGAATTCCAGCTTTAAATTCCCGCGTGGGGATTTCACAAGTTTATTTAATATTTTGCTTCGTTAAAAATGAACAGTCACAGACGCTTATTGGCGTACTTATAAAAGCTTGGGTTGAATTACATTGATTTCACTTAATTTTACGTTTACAGAAATACGATCTACTGCGTTTGGCGGTCGGCAATCTACTTATAATTTTTAGAGCCGTTAGCTCAAATCAACCATCGCCTTTATTCTATTCTCTCTTCTTCGTCAATTCGTTAGGGTTGCAATTTGATGGTAGCTAACACCG